AAAAAAAAAAAAAAAAAAAAAAAAAAAATTTAAAAGAATACCAATTCTTCTCAAACTCTTACAAAATGTTTAAGAGAAGGAAACATTTCCTAATTCATTCTGTAAGGCCAGTATTACCCTGATAACAAAACTAGACAAAGACACAAGAAAAGGAAACTATCAACCAATGTATTTTATAAATACTGATGCAAAAATCCTCGGCAAAACAAGTTCAGCAACACATTGAAGGGATTACACATCAAGGCCCAGGCTCACGCCTGTAACCCCAGCACTTGGGAGGCTGAGGCGGGTGGATCACCTGAGGTCAGGAGTTCGACACCGGCCTGGCCAACATAGTAAAACCCCGTCTCTGCTAAAAATACAAAAATTAGCTGGGCATGGTGGCTTGTGCCTATAGTCCCAGCTACTTGGGAGGCTGAGGCAGGAGAATAGCTTAAACTTGGGAGGCAGAGGGTGCAGTGAGCCAAGATGGCACCACTACACTCCAGCCCAGGTGACGGAGTGAGACCCTGTCTCAAAAAAAAAAAAAAAAATCCCAAAGGATTACACATCATAACCAAGTGGAATTTATTCCCAGATGCAAGGATGCTTTCATAAACAAAAATCAGTTAATGAGATTGTGATTCCATGTGGTGTCATGAGTTGACCACCTTAATAGAATAAAGGAAAAAGACTACAGCATCATTTCAGATGATACAGAAAAAGACCTGACAAAATTCAACATCATTTCATGATTGAAAAAAAAAAAACAAAAAACAATAAATAGGATAGAAGGCAACTTTCTCAACGTAGTAAACACCATACAAAAAAGCCCATAGCTAATGTCATATTCAATGGTGAAAAAGGAAAGCTTTTCTTCTAAGATGACGAAAGATAAGGATGCCCGCAGTTGCCATTTTAATTCAACATAGTATTAAAGTTCTAGCTAGAAGCCGAGCATGGTGGCTCATGCCTGTAATCCCAATACTTTGGGAGGCTGAGGCAGGCGATCACCTGAGGTCAGGAGTTTGGGACCATCCTGGCCAACACGGTGAAACCCCATCTCTACTAAAAATACAAAATTTAGCCAGGTGTGGTGGCACATGCACCTGTGGTCCCAGCTACTCGGGAGGCTGAGGCAGGAGAATCACTTGAACCCAGGAGGTGGAAGTTTCAGTGAGCCGAGATCACGTCACTGCACTCCAGCCTGGGCGACAGAGTCAGAGTATGAAGAAAGGAAAGGAAAAGAAAGGAGAAAGGAGAAAGGAAAGGACGGAAAGAGAGGGAGAGGGGGAGGGAGAGGGGGAGGGAGAGGGGGAGGGAGAGGGGGAGGGAAAGAGAGGGATGGGGGAGGGGGAGGGGGAGAGGGAGGGAAAGAGAGGGAGAGGGGGAGGGGGAAGGGGAGGGAAAGGAGGGAAAGAGAGGGAGAGGGGAAGTAAAATTATGTTTGCCAATGACATGATCTTACGTGTAAGAAAACCCTAAAGAATCCACACACACACACACACACACACACACACACACACACACACACGTTAGAATAAATAAATTCAACCACAACAAGTGGTGGGGAGGGTGTGGAGAAACCGGAGCCCTTGTGACTGGTGGTGGGAATGTAAAACGGTACAGCCACAACAGAAAATAGTTTGGCAGCTGCTCAAAAAGCTAAACAGAATTACCCAGACTCCAGCAACTCCACTCCTTCAGGTACACCCAAAGGAAGTGGAAGCAGGGACTGAAACAGACACCTGCCCGTCAGTGAGCACTGCAGCACTATTCACAGTCACACCAAACACATGACGGAACAAACAAAACGCAGCGCACACACAACGGAATGTTTTCAGCCATAAGAAAGGAATGAAGTGGCGTCGTATGTGCGAGCAAGACATTATGCTAAGAAAGAAGCCAGATGCCAAAGGACAGATGCTGTGTGATTCCACTTACAGGCCATACCTACAGTGGGCAGCTTCACTGAGACAACTCGTTAGTTGTCTCACCAGGGCTTGGGCAGTGGGGAATGGAGGGCTGTTGCTTAACACTCACAGTGTTTCTGTCAGGGGTGGTAAAAATTCTGGAAATAGTGGTGATGGTTGCACAGTGTTGTGAATGTAGTTTATGCTGTTGAACTAAGTGCCATTCTGACACTTAACAATGGTCAAAATTGGCTGTGCGCAGTGGCTCACGCCTGTAATCCCAACACTTTGGGAGACCAAGGTGGGTGGATCATGAGGTCTGAAGTTCAAAACCAGCCTGGCCAACATGGTGAAACCCCGTCTCTACTAAAAATACAAAAATTAGCCGGGCATGGTGGCATGTGCCTGCAGTCCCAGCTACTCGGGAGGCTGAGGCAGAAGAATCACTTGAACCTGGGAGGTGGAGGTTGCTGTGAGCCGAGATCGCGCCACTGCACTCCAGCCTGGGCGACAGAGCAAGACTCTGTCTCAAAAACAAAAACAAAAAAAGGTCAAAATTTATGTTATATATATTTTGCCACGATTTAAAAAGTAACGTAGTGTACCAAAAGCCACTGAAATGTACACTTAAATGGGTGGATTATGTGGTATGTGAATTATCTGTCAATAAAGCTGTTTTTCAAAAAACACAGGAGTGGTCCATAAGCACCCTCTGTACACCCAAGCTGTCAGGGAAATACAAACCGAAACCCCAGGGAGACGGCACGCCACAGCCAGAACGGCTGTGCGAGAAAGATAGACACGGAGAGCCAGCAAGGAAGTAGGCAAGACGAAAGCAGGAGTGTAAAAAGTGAAGCCGTCTGAGGAAACAGTTGGGTGGCTGGTAACGCAGAGTGACCCCTGACCCTGCAATTCCACTCCTAGGTGTCTACCCAAGAGAAGCAAAAGCATCGGCCACACGGAGGCTTGTGAGCGTTACTCACAACAGCCCCAAACCGGAAACACCCCAAATGTCCCCCACTCAGGAACAGATAAACAAAGCGTGGTGAGTCTCTGCAGTGGCTTTTCCTCTGTAATAAAAGGGTGCAGCGTGAGGTGCTGGGGACGGACCTCCAAACATGATGCAAAATCAAAGACACCAAACGACCACGTGCCACATGGTTCCAGTTACACGAAAGGCCCACAAAAGAAACTTACAGAGACAGAAGTGGGTGAGTGCTAGGGCTGGGGTGGGAGGACAGCAGGGCTGGCACTGATGATGGAAAGAGCTGAGGGAATTCCAGCGGCAATGAACACGTTTAAAAGCTGCGTTGTGGTACGGTTGTATGACTTGAAGTTTAATCTTTTTTTGTTTGAGACGTTGTTTTGCCCTTGTTACCCAGGCTGGAGTGCAATGGCATGATCTCGGCTCACTGCAACCTCCGTCTCCTGGGTGGAAGCGATTCTCCTGCCTCAGCCTCCCAAGTAGCTGGGATTACAGGCATGCGCCACCACACCCAGCTAATTCGGTATTTTTAGTAGAGACAGTGTTTCTCCATGTTGATCAGGCTGGTCTCGAACTCCCGACCTCAGGTGATCTGTCGCCTCGGCTTCCCAAAGTGCTGGGATTACAGGCATGAGTCACTGCACCCAGCCAGGAACCTAAGTTTACTAAAACCCACAGAACCATACAACTATAGTGGAGGAATCATGTGGGAGGGAAGCTGTACTTCAGTAAAGCTGTTTGGCTTTTTTTAAGCTGACACCACAAATCAAAGGGTTAGACTGCTGTTGAGGGGAATGTGCCCATGACATGAAGAAAAATTAAGTGGGGCCCCACCTCACACACAATGCGCAAATAAAGAACAGCAAACAGCAGCGGACTCATAGCAGAGGCCTCCCATGCTGGGGCCGCCCAGGTCTGCCAGGTCCACTGTAACCCCCTGAAGAGTCACCAAGCCCATTCAAGGTAGGCAGTGCTGTTACCCCAATTGTATGAAAAAGGAGACTGAGGCCAGAGGAGGAAGTCACTGTGCAGGGACAAGCTACACCCACAGCTGCGTCTCAAGCCAGCAGCGGGCGACGCAGGAGGCACTCTGACCGTGGGTGGGGATAGGTCCTAAATAAGACCCCTCAGCACAAATCACAGAGCAAAGGATGTCAGGACCCTGCCTCATAAAGGATGAACAACAAGAGAAGCGCTGCATGACCAGAAGCAAGAAAGGCACTGTTCAGAGGACACGGCAGCCCCAGCGAGCCTGAAGGATGAAGCCAGGGCAAGCACAAGGAGAATCCCAGGTGACTCAGCAATCAGCTCAAACTGGGGAGCTGAAACCCAGGACCCAGCCAGGGCCCTCCCTCTGTCGGCAGCTCCCGGCGGACAGGCACCAACCACATGCAGGGCATGGAGAAACCAGCAGCGTGGAGGCTCACGGAGCAGGCACTGCAGATGTGAGAGGGCCCAAGGTGTGCGGGAGCTCTCAGCGCAGAGTTGGGGTGGAGTCGCTGTTGTCCTGCACACGTGCACATGATGCTCCCAGCCCTGGGCGCTAGCAGCAGCGACACCCCACAGCTGCAACTAGCACACACAGCGCCCAGGCCCTGAGTCCTAAACACACCCAAAAGGAGCCAGGGCACTCTGCAGGAGCGGCTGACCCACCCACCCAGAGCTGCCGGAAGCAGCACCCAGATCCTGAGTCCTAAACACACCCAGAAGGAGACAGGGTGCCCTGCAGGAGCGGCTGACCCACCCACCCAGAGCTGCCGGAAGCAGCACCCAGACCCTGAGTCCTAAACACACCCAGAAGGAGACAGGGTGCCCTGCAGGAGCGGCTGACCCACCCATCCAGAGCTGCCAGAAGCAGTACCCAGACGCCGAGTCTTACACACACCCAGAAAGAGCCAGGGCGCCCTGCAGGAGCAGCTGTCCCAGAGCAGCCGGGTGCTGGGAGCATCTGGGTGCCAAAAAGTGTGCAGAAATTGTCGGGGGCATCATAAAGAGAGGAACCGTGAAGGGAGGGGCAGGGGCAGCGTAAGCGTTAAATTAAAAGGTGATGGCATTGAACACAGCCCGACACACCCGTGGACACACACAGGTAGGCGGTGAGCGAGGAGGAGGAAAATCTCTTCAGTTCGAGGACGCTAGCAGTGCATCAGAATGACAGCCGACAGACACGGCGGGCTATGCAGACTAAGGGGAGAAGGTGGGGTTTTCTCATCTCAAAGTCTCCCCCCAGCAAACGCATCAGCCAGGGAGATCCCTTTGACGCAGATCGGGCGAGTGCCCAAGGCAAAGGAGGAAAGCAGCGCTGCTCCCGGACGGTGCCGTGTACAGGAGACGAGTGTACGGGAGACGCTCGGCAGGCCCCGCAGGTGCACAGACAGGCAGTCTCAAGTCACCCCCCATCCTGAAATCCTGGACAGGTGGCGTCTGGCAGAGGCTGACCCCTGAGCCGCAGCCGTGGCCCTCCAAAAGGGGAAGGAGCAGAGATTTACTCCCTGCCTAAATTATTCACAAGAAAAGGGAACGTGCCTCTTTAACAAGCCATCGCTTTATGAAGCAAGGTTAACAATTTCACTTGATTCAGTGGAATATTATAAACTCTCTGGGGCCCATTTGAGGACTTCTACTTCAGGCGCAAGGTGACGACTCAGCACTTTTCACATTATTTAGAGAATAAAATTAACCCTCACAGGCCCGGGCGGCCGCCTGTCCCCGCTGGATCTGGCCGGCTCAGCGCTTTCCCATATATAATTACAAGCTGCGATCCATCATGCGGGTGCCGTGGCGCGGACACGCGGAAAGGCAGCAGTAAGCACTTCCACTAATAGAAGCAGGACCTAAATATCACTTTGATATTTTCATTTAAATTGAAACAGTTTACAATAATCAGCCATGGCCTCCATGGGAATCCTGCCACCACCCCTACAAGGTCTGGGGTTGCCCCAGCCAGACCCTGCCTCCCTGAAGGGGCTTCCCTGCTGGGCTCCAGATTGGGGAGCCGGGCCTGGCCAACCCTTGGCCTGGCAGCAGGAGGAGCTGGGGGCCGGCTCCTCCCGGGAAGTGGGCGTGAGGACTGAGGATGAGGGAGGGGATGCTTGGGGAGGGCCCGACCCACCACAGAACGCCATGCACAGGGAGTGCGTGGCACAGCTTCTACAGGGCCCTCGCTGGGCAGGAGAGACACTGGAGCCTAGGGCTGGCATCATTGCGGGTGGACTGGGAAAGGGTTCTTGGGGTGCCTGGTGTTCTCGGCTTCACAGGGATTTCAGACCCTGAGGCAGGGCCGACACTCACAAGGTATGAGGGCTGGGTGGCAGTGGGCCCTGCTGCAGGCCCCAGGGCTCCCTCTCAAGGTGCCAGGGACTAGGGCGCATCTCCAGTCCCCCAGCTCTGGGCCATAGCTTCCCTTGCAGCCGTCTACGGGCCCCTCCCCTGTCTAAGCCAAGAGACCCCAGCCTTAGCCACCAGCAATAGGCCAGGTGCAGGAGCCCCCAGGGCAGGGAGAGCCACAGGCGTGAGAGGCTGGGGGAGAGGGGGCTTGTACCTGCGACCAGGATCACTGGGGCGGCTGAGGCCACAGTGCTTGGGGCGGGGAGTCCTAGTGAAGCCAGGAGGGCAGATGAGGCAGAGGGGAAGGAGCCAGCTCTGCTGCCGGGAATCTCCCAGACAAGCGAGCCTGTGAGCGCCTCCACAGTGCAGGAGTCAGCCATGCCCCCAGAAGAGGCGAGTCGGAGCCATCAGCTGCAGGTGAACCTCGCAGCCCAGGGCCCCAATTCCTCACCCAGCAGTGGTGCCCCACAATGAGCTCCAGTGCCAGCTCACTCCAGCCTCACCAGCCACAGCTCAGGTGGCCCCTTCGGCTCTGCCTGGCCCACCCCTCTGTCCCAGGCTGTGTGGGAGTGTCCCGTCCACCCCCTGCCTTCCTGAGGAGGCTGCTGGCCACACATCCACCTGCAGCCCTGCCGGAACCCAGCCTCCAATATCCCCTTCATCACACTGCCACCCCAGCAACATCCCAGGGGCTGCCCCGGCCCAGGCACCACACTCGCCCCCATCCAGGGACAGCTCCCACGGCTACGCAGGCTGCACCTGGAAGTCTAGGTCCTCTGCAACTCACCTTCCCACGGTTCAAATCCCACCCTGTGCTGGTGTTGTGCCACCCCGGGAAAGCTGCTGGACCTCTGAATCACCTGTGAGGTGGAGGTGATGACACTGACCACCTCAGGGCTGTAGAAGGGTCATCCAGCCACCACGGCAGGCACCCAGGAGTGAGCAGAGGACAACCAGGCCACAGGAACCCCGCCCACTCCGGCCCCACGGACCCCTCACCTTTGCACCCAGGGGGCAGTAGCCTTTGAGGAAGTCGCTGCAGACCTCGGCCTTGCGGGACACATACACGTGGCTGTAGGGGCAGTTGCTGTTGCTGCAGATGCCCTTCAGAAAGTACGAGCACACTGGCATCTGTGGGGGAGGGGGGGCAGTGAGGACCAGCGGGCAGCTATTCTCCAGGGCCCACAGACGGTCCTCCCCAAGACACAGGTGGACATGCTGGCCGGCCGGCCGGCAGGAAGGCCAGCCACCAGGAGCTGCGGGGCAGGGAAGCTGCTGCTCAGAGTGGGCCCAGCATCCCCAGGGGAGCCGCACCCCAGCCCTCGCTCTGTGGAGAGGAAGCACACAGCAGCCTACAGCCCTGCGGCTCAGCCTCAGTGGCGCTCTCCTGCTCTGAGCCTGTCCACCATCTAGGGCAAAAGGGCGGCCAGGGCTCCCAACCACTAGCCTGTGGCCATGGCTGCCCTCAGAGCCCCTCAGGCCATGGGGCCAGTGTCTGGATGGGAGGACGAGCCACGGGCCAGCAGCCAACAGAGGGCCTCCCAGGCACCTGCCCTGTGGGCCACAGCAGTGTCCCTGGGCTCTGGGTGGGCAGGGCCGTCTGGGAGCAGGCCTGGTGTGCAGGCCAGCACTGTGGGGGCTGAGGCCTGTCAGCAGGAGGGTCCAGCAGCATCCTCCTCCCCAGCACAGGGCCGCTGGCCACAGTCAGGGCTTGCTGTCACCACCTGGGCTGTGAGACGGAAGAGACGCGCTGTCCCCCCATCTGGGGAAGCTGAGGCCTGAGGAGCACTGGCGGGGCTAGGGCCACCCAGGGAGGGAAGCAGGGGCCTCCTGCCATCTCCAGGAGACACCTCCCTGCCCCTCATGGGCCACCGCGGGCTCCTCCCGGGCTGCCTGGGTGTCCAGAACGGGGATGTCCTGCCTCAGCATGGAGCCCCCACAGAGCCCCTACCGGCACCCCGGGGTCTCCAGCCACTCCCCTGGCTATTCCTGTTCCCTCCAATGGCCTCTGCAGAGCACAGCCCCATCCCCCCTCCAGGGCCAGACCACCCTCCCTGCCCCCACCCCACCCTGAGCCCCTCCCCTTCCCAGAGCCCTGGGGAAGCTGGGCAGACCCAGAGACTTTAAAAAGTCACTTTTCTGGGTGAGGTTGGAGAGGGGAGAGGAACTTGTCTAAGGCCAAGGAGGGAAGAAAGGGTCCAGAGAGGGGCTGAGAGGGAGGGAGAAGGCAAAGAAACAAAGGGTGATTTAACGAGCGGGAGTTTATTTCTAATTGTCTTTTAACTGAGCCGCAGAGGGGAGAGGGGCTGGGGGCCCATTTGGGGCTGGCGGTGGTGGGCTGTAGACAATTCCCTTAATGTGGTTTTTGATATAGAGCCCAAATTAGCTCTAATAAAAAGGGATGATAAAGCCAAATCTCCACCAAACGGAGCTCCTCCTGGCTGTCAGAGTGGGGCTGTTATCAAGAGGAAACTGCGTTCTCATTTCAATTAACCTTGTTTGCACCCCGCCACGTCCACACAAATAACAATAACATTAATTCAGGGCACTGGTGCGGGGCGTCCACATTAGACAGCTTGGAATGTGCTCCGGCTTTGGAGCTGGGAGCTAATGAACCTGAAACTCGACGTGAATTTCCAAATTGCTCACAACAGAGTTCCGAAGCTCTATTAGGGAGAAAAATGCTGATTCTTTTCAAGTTCCTCAAGGGGAAAAGCTGTTGCAGCAGCAGCACCCCGGCCCGATGCTGCCTCCCTCACCCGAGGCAGCCGCCACTCCACTGGCATCCCGTGACCACACCTCGGCCGAGTCCAGGGCACAGGGGCTACGTGTGTCCCTGCCAGACTGACCCCTGACCCCGGCCCCAGAGCTCTCTTGCCTCTTCCCAGCCGGGACCCACCTTGGCTCCAGGTGAGTCTGTGGGGTTTTGGGTGGCAGGAACACCCGCATGGGCCAGGAGCCTTGCTGTGCACGTGTCCAGCCCCTCCCTCCCACCCTCTGCTCAGGCAGCCTCCCCTTGAGCCCCTCACACACAGCTTCCCCCGCCCTAAGGCCTCAGCCCTGGGTCCACAGGGCCACCTGTAAAGCCAGCTTCCCCTGGGCATGTGTATGGGGGGTCTGGGGATCTGGTGAGGCCTGCTGGTGTCAGAAGGGAAAAGGGACCCCGACATGTGGTTAGGGGGGACCCATCAGCACCGCTTTGGCGGGAAGAGGGAGCCCGGTGGCACGGCCCACAGCGGGGTGGAGGCAGCACGGCAGCCTCTAAGGACGCCAGGGCCGGGATCTGCATGTCCTAAGCCCAGGGAAAGCAGTGGGCACCGTCTACCTGGGGGCCGGGAGGCCGAGGCCCCAGAGAAATGTGAATGGGAGCAGGGCTGCCAGTGCCACACTCACCTTCTCCTTGGACACATGGTGTGAGAAGGGGCAGGTCCCATCCGTCTTCTTGCAGGTGCCCCGGACAAACCTGCAGCACCAGGAGAGAAGGGTGTGAGGAGGGGCCGCAGGGACCGAGAGCAGGGCCTGCTCAGAACCTCCCCCGGCCCCGCGGTGAGGGCAGGAGGGCACCTGGTGCACACGGCCACCTTCTCAGGGTCGTGGATGTAGGGGCAGCGCTCGCCGCGGTTGCACCTGCCGAAGCGGTTGTAGTACATGCAGAACTCCTTCTTCTTCTCCCTCCGCTGCCGCGCCTGGCGGATGATGGCCAGGCTGCGCTGCACGGCCCGGCTGCGGACAGGGAGAGACGGGCGTGAGCCCGAGGGCGAGCAGGGAGCCCGCCCACTGCCCGGCCCGAAGGAAGTACCTGGCCAGGGAACGGCTACAGCTGCCTGCAGGGTCCAGTCGGCCTGTGGGGAGAAAGGCCTGAGTCACAGCGGGCCAGGGCCTGGCCTGCACATCCTTTCCCTGCTGAGCCCTTAGCCAAGGCCCTCCGGGGTCCCAGCACTCAGCTCAGACACAGCCTCCCCTCCCCACAGTGGGTCAGAGGCCCTCCTGGGCCCTGCCAGGCCCCACTGGGGACACTGCACTGAGGGTGGGGAGCTGCTGGGCCTGGTGTCTGGCTCCTCTCCAGGGCAGGGGCTGGGCAGGGCTCCTGTCCATGCCCTCAGAGCTGGCAAAGCCAGGCAGCACCTGTGGAGGGCTCAGTCACGTGGGCTGGTGCTGCCCGTCTGCTCCTGCTGCCTCTCTGGAGAGGCACCCCAGGGCCATACTCTGCTGCCTGGACCTCCCCTGCTGGCTTTCTCATGTCCCTGGGTGCCCACCCTGGGCCAAGGCAGTGACTGGACCATGGACACTGCTCCTGGCTCTCTCCTCAGCCCTGGCCACAGGGAACCTGCCCTGTAAATAGCACAGCCACTAACAACACCACCTCCCTCTCCAGGGCCTGGCCCAGGGCCTGTGGGGGCCCTGTGGGGTTGCTGACCAGGGCATGAATATGGCCCATGGGCACCTGTGACCAGGCCTTTTAGGAGCAAGAGCAGTTTCTGATTTTTAGAGGGTTGTAAAACCAAAACTAAAGAAATGCAGCGGAGAAGATGCTGGGGCAAAGCCTGGTCAGTGGCGGCTTCTGCCCACCGCAGCTGTGGGCGCCTGGGGAAGGGATCTGTCCCCGAGGCCCTGGCTGGCCCTGGCAGATCCTGGCGGTACCTGCTGCTCTAAATTTTGGAGGTGCCTCATCAGATGCTCCTCGAGCATGAGGACCACCCCAGCCTTTCTGAAACTGCACACCACAGCCTGAGGGGGTGGCGCTGGCGGGAAGGGAATGGACCTTGGGGCTGGCCACCGTTGAGCAATGCAAGGCCTGAGAGCCAAGGGGAAGAGGCAGGGAGGGGGCCCTGAGTGCAGGAGGAGGGTCTGCTCTGGTGGCACAGCCTTGCCTGCCTTTTACAGACAGAGGTCACCCCCAGGATCACGGGGCGGGCAGGGCAGGACAAGCCTGCTGAGGGCAGCTTTCCCGGGTTCCTCAAATACACACATGACCCTGTCCAGACCAGATCCGATTTCCTACAGGGCAAATGCTGAAATAGACACTGTGGTTAAGAGGCAGGGGTGACATCACTCAGAAATTCTAGGAACCTGAGGTGGTGGCAAAGCCATCCTGGTTTAAAAAGGGATGTCCCACAGCTGCCCCGCCCTGCCCCACTGTGAGCACCAGAGAGCAGCCTTGTCTTCACTCTCGCAGGTTGCCAAGTGCCACAGGCTCCCGCCCGAGGACCCAAGGCTTCCGTTCCTTTGCACCCCCAGGCTGGAGCCACCCACACTCCTCACTTTGTGCTTTGCATCCAGCCCCGCCCTGGCTGGCTGGGGTTGGTGGTGCTGCTGCCCTTTGCCCTCTGGGACCCTGACTACTGCCCCGCTCTCAGTCCATCTCAAGTTTCAAAGGGCAGCTCCAGAGCTGAGTGGAGGACTTGGCTGGGGCAGAAGCAGGAGCAAGTAATGGTGCCTGGGGGCAGGAAGGCAGAAACCTGGGGGGTGGGGAGGCCAAGGGCAAAGGGAGGGTGATGAGGGTCTTGGTGTTGGGGGCTAATGTGGGAGGGACTCTCGGGCTGGGACAGGATGCTTGTCCTCGAGTGGGCAGCAGGCCCCCACCCAGGCAGCACAGTGTGGTGAGGGACAGGCAACTTGGCGGCCTGTCGGCGGTGCTGGTTCCCGAGCTCTCACCCAGCTGCCGGTGACAGCATGGCGCCATCTGCTCCCGGCCAGGGACATGCTGGAGTCACGCGCCTGCCTGGCAGGACCAGGGTTCGGGGCTGTTACTTCCCTTTCCACTCTGCTCTCTTTAAAAAAACACCAGCATGAGGCTCACGGCAGGAGTTCTGAGAAGAACAGGAGGCACTTTTTCAAATGCTTTGCAGTGTTAAAAAATGCACATAACGTAGCTGGCTGGAAAAGAGGCAAGGGCTGCCTGAGAGGTGCTAAAAAGTTCAACCGAATAACCCCCAGCAACTCGACAGCAGAAGGTGCCATGCACCGTCACTTCCCCAGGACCTTCCTAGAATAGACATGGCCCCCGCCAGCCCCACCCCCCACTCAGTGCCCCAGTGCCGCTCTGGGCCGGGCTCCTTCTGACATCGGGCACTGCTGATGTCAGGCTATGCAGGGCAAGTGGGATGGGGGCCTGCGGTCAGGGCTTCCTCGGCACCTCCAGCCCGTGCCGGCCAGCACCCCTTGGATGGCTGCTGCCTGGCCCGAGGGACAACATCCATGACAAGCAGGGCACGCAGGCAGCCCCAACCCCCAGGCCGGCCCTCTCCCAGGAAGTCAGGCAGAGCTGCACCAAGCCCTGGTCTGCTCAGAGCATGCCCACCAGGTCCTCCAGGGCACATCCGTCTGCCTCATGGAAGCTACACCCTTGGCAGGAGGTGGCCAGCAGCAGAGGACGCCCCAGGAGAGGCGATGTGGGGGTATGCAGATAGGGCCTTCCTCATCATCCCAGGGAGGTCGGATAGGGCCTTCCT